CCCTGCTTTTAACCAGTAAGGCACGTTTTGCTGCATATTCTTTAGTATTTACTACTTAAGAGAGGAGATAAAATAAATTGTTCCTAATTCTACTTAAATATATACTGTGTTGAAGTAAATGTTTGTCATGTTTTAGTAAGTATAACAGTTTATATATAAGATGTACATGTTTATATGTATGCATATATGTGTAAATCTTATGTATATATGCTTTGTGTGTAATTGAAACCATTGTGCATGCTACAGTTTCTATATCTAGTTTTATCTTCATTTGCAAATGTTATATCTGCAAATTTTTCATAAGATCTTATTTCAAAGTCTTCTTTTCACTTTTTAAATTCTATTTGATTTCATTAATCAGTGAGCACATTATTCTTTAGTGTCTATCAGAGAAAAGTTACAATTCTTCATTTATTTATCTGGGGAAACAATAAACTTTCAAACTGATTTTTTGTTGCACACATTCTTTTAATTAAACAGTAAATTGAATGTGTTTTTATTCCAAATTCATGAGACCACTAAGTCATGTTTAACATTTTTGGTTTAAAGATTTCTATTTCCCCTCTAGCAAATCCAAAACTGAGACACAGAAGCACAACAACCCTCCAGTTTTGTGAAATGGGTTTTGAAAAGCAACCTCTATCTTTAGGTACCAATTCAGAATGGCTTTTATAGATAACTGGTATGAAAAATACCAGGAACAGAAGTCTGAACTAGTGATTTTAGTACTCTAAATAGAGAAGAAGTTTGGTTTTCCCATTTTTAATGCCATACATTGAGCCAAATTTGAATCTTAGAAATTTTAAGGAGCTCATACAGGATCACATGGCTAAGACAAAGCAGTAATATTAGCATTGTGTTTTCCTGTAAAACTGTAAATGTGCCTCTTTTTGTCATATAAGTTTAATGTAATATTTACATTTCTTAGTAAAACTGAAGATACACAGGGACAATATGAACTATATTTAAAACAATAATTTTGGAAAAATATTAGTAAATATACAATCATTCTGGTTTTGGTAATACTCAAAATAGAAACCCATATTAAATATTTAGTCTATATAAACTCTTGGCCTAGTTCTATCATAGTGCTTTCATAATTATGCATTCAAAATTCTAAGATCTTCATTAAAAGAAAAGCAATCTTTTATTATACATATTTATTTAAAAATGTTCTTTTCTTTTACAGCTATATTAAATTTTACTATTTATTAAGTTCTCATTCAAGCAAATTCTTTTTCAGTGAAATAAATAGTAGAGTGACAAATTGAGTTTGTTCTAATATTTTACACAGATTATTTTATATATCCTACAGTAAAAGACTAATTTTTAAAACATCTCATGTAATGACACTTGCTGAGTTTTCACTAGATGGTAATATCATTGCTCATAATGGAAAAATAAACACTTCTATATATGTATAATATTGGAGAAAATAATCTCATGACAAAATTTAAGTATATTTTCTATAAGGATATTTTAATCCATCATTTGAATCTGTGATGAAAACATATCTAGAAGATGGCTCTAGATTCCTTCCTGCCTCCCCATTGAGAATCTATGTTGTGTACCACGTAATCTCTTTCTTTTCCATATATATATATCCTAATATACTTTTGTGTCAATCTTTCCAACTGAAATTTCTCAATAACTTCCTTAAATACCTCTCACTGTAATTTAGGCTCACAGCAACCCAGTTTCTGCACATTAGAGTGATCATTTATAACTATAAATCTGAGATCTGTTTGCCTGTGACTCCTGACTGTAATCCTACTCAGCTGAATGACATTTGAGGATTAGAAGTTAGAAGCCAATCCAAGGAGGAAAGTCTGTGAGACTTTTATTTGTTATTAACCAACAAAAAATACAGTAGCTGAACTGTGGTTCCAGTGCTAGCACACCAACCTTGGATGAAAAAGTTAAGGGACAGTGTCCAGGCCTTAAGTTCAAATGCTGCTACTATATATAAATGTAATCTAAATAGTATTTATGATGATATATGAATGGCATATATGATGTTTTATAAACAAGAAATACTTTTTTAATGTATCTAATAAAAACTAGGTATAAGCATTTATGCACAAATTAACTTGGTATAATATTTTGCTGTTTAAATATTTATGTTGTTCAGTTTCTAACTAGTGTTTTTCTAGTATCGCTTAGGCATTTATTTTTAAAGTTCACACTTACAGGTAGAAAACAGAAGCTAAAGTTCTGTTATGAGCTACATTTTAATTTAAATAATAGACCTTTTTATATCATTTTGAATGCCCAGCTATTTTTGTTTTATTCAAGAAGATTTGATACAATGCTTAGGAAAGTGCTTCTATTTTCATGAGATGCAAACAGTTTTAAATGGAGATAGTTGTGGTATATCTGAAGAAGTTTTACTAATGACCAGTACATAATTTTCTCATACAGGTGACATTGTCACTCCTCTAGTAGTACCCATTGAATTAAATCTGGGTCACTGTCTTCTAGACAATCATCACCTTAATTATTTTAAGAAGTATTACTGAATCATTAAAAGCTGTTTGATTAATATTATCAAGTCATTAAAGTCATCAGATTCCTCTTCATAAAAGAAATTTCATAAAATTAGAGTACTGTAAAATAAAGTTCTCAATTGTATAGAAGCAAAATAGTTCACTTCAGAAAATATAATATAAAAATGCATTAAAAACTGGACATAAAAATTTCCCTATGAAATCTAGGGACTCTCAATTAAATTAAGTGAGCATAAGATGTAGAATACTGATAGAGGTTAGCAAGTGCAAACTTTAGAATAAATTTCTAGTGTTTTATTAAAACCTTCTGATTTTGCAGTTAAATAAACTATCATACAGAAAGCATAATCATTGGCTTATACTGACATAATATATTCTCCTGCTTCAGTAATCAATAATCTTTTCATTGCATCATCTTTCCTTTATATCTTGAGGAAGTTTATTGGTAGTATCACTTCATATAACTTCATTTAGTTTTTTCATAAAATGCCAGGCTACCCATGACAATGGCGACCAAAATTCAGTAAGTTAGTTTCTCTAAAGAAGGCTTTGTTAAAAGAGTATAAGAGGACAGGCACTGGTGGCTCATGCCTGTAATCCTAGATACTTGGGAGGCTGAGATCTGAAGATGGTGGTTTAAAGCCAGCCTGGGCAGGAAAGTCTGTGAGACTCTTATCTACAATAAACCATCAGAAGTGGTGGTGTGACTCAAGTGGTAGAATGCTAGCCTTGACCTGAAGAGCTAAGGGACAGTGCCCAGGCTCATAGTTCAAGCCCCATGACTGACAAAAAAAGGAGAGATTTTAAAAAATTTATTTTCCTTAGATTTATAAGAAGATATTGTCCTAGGTTGCTATCATTGAATTACAAAAAATGTAGGAATCCTCTTAAGGAGATTCTATTATGTGTATATTAGGAAAGTAAAGATCCATTTTTCATTTTATTAATATAGATTATACATTGGATTCTGTTGATTGGAGAGTGACTTTTATCCAAGTAGTGACTAAATAAAGCCTAATGAATATATGTATGCCATCTTTGAACTTGTGAGTATATACTATTCTTATGAGTTAATAATTGAAATGTTAAGCATATCAAAAGCAGGTAAAGATCTATGTGAAATAAAATTTACCTCAAATTTGCATGAAATTTCTATCTTTAATGAATTTGAATCCCTTTAAAAATCTCGTGACAGCTGGGCACAAGTGGCTCATGCCTATAATATTAGTTGCTAAGGAATCTGGTGTCTGATAGTCACCGTTATAAGCCAGCCTAGGCAGGATAGATGGTGAGACTTTGATCTCCAATTAACCACCAAAAAGACAGAAGTGGCACTTTCAATTAAGTGTTAAAACAGTAGTCTTGAGCCAAAAAGCTCAGAGACAGTGCCAAGGCCCAAGTGATTAAAAAAAATCCAAGCAGGCAATGCTCCAAAAGCCAAATGTTCCATTCACACATTTATGGAATCTACATATCTACATATACATTTAAATATTATTTACATATTTATTAGGATAAGGGAAGGGAGGAAAGGGATTAAAAATGGAGGACTATGACATAGAAATCTTGGTGAGAGCCATTGGTCTTAGGACAGGGTACTGAGAAACTGCAATAGAGAGTCATTGTGATTAAAATATAATATATACATTACATAATGTGGCACAAAGTGGTAGAGTGCTAGCCCAGGCCATGAGTTCAAGCCCAATGACAAAAAAATAAATATATTGGAACTGTATTAGAATGAAGTACAGGAGAGTGATAGAGGGGATGATTTTTGATCCTGACACATCATATGAATGTATGTAAATGCCATAATGAAGACTCTTGTGGTAAAAACCAGTATATGCTAATAAAAGCATCAAAAACCCCTTTAAAATATTAAAGATTCCTGTGAATAAATCCAGTGGTTTTTTATGTATTCTTCATTCAACCTTCCTGAAGTATTGTCACATCAAGTACTTTCCCAAGAGGGCCAGCATGCAATCCCATAATTTACATGCCCTAAGCCAGAGGATCTCTACTTGAAAGCAAATCTGGGTTACATAGCAAAGAAATTGTTTTAAAATAGTTGTTTTCAAATGTTTCGTGGAACTATTTTCTTCTTGATCTGTTTTCTTATTCTAAATCAATAAAGGTTTTTATTAGTAAATACGAACAAAGTGTATTATATGCTCTTTCCAATAAATACACTCTTTTATCCCACAAAATTTTTGCCAATCTTTCCCATCACCTTCCACTATTTGGTCCTTACTATCTTTCCTTCCACTTCCATCCCCTCTACTCTTATGCCTTCTTAGTTTCTCCCATATATTCCTCCACATACATTAGTCTCAATATGAAAGGGTAAGTTGGGCCCAGAAGTATGGGGAAGCATTACTTCATAAAAAAGACAACCAATTAGTTAAGTGCCAACTTTATTTTCATGAAACTAATTGAATTCTCAAATTTTACAATTTATTTAGGCTCTTAGTGCAGAGGAATTTTGGGTTGATATTACATTGCATATTTCCCCGTCCACTCCCGAGCGGTTTTGTTAAATGTCATCCTGTCGCTATGGAATATCCTCGCAATTTCAGGAACCAAAGGATCAACAGGGTTGGGGTAGCACAGCAAGGAGCAGATGGACAGCAATATTTTGGAGACCGTCAGTGCCGGTGACCATTCAGAACCCAGGATGTCTAGAGAGATGCTCCCCGTACTGCTGATGTTTGGATGGTAAATTTCTGTGATGAATGCGACCTTAGGTGGCTTGAACGGGTAATCATGCGGAAACTCGATAGAGAGGAAGAAGACTCCTCCCTGGTAAGGGCTATCCTCAGGCCCTATGATGGTGGCTTGCCAGTGAAATATATCTTCTGCCACTGGGCCTGCAGAGCACAGGGTCGGGGGGTCTTGAGACAACTCCAGGAGCTCACACTGAATACGCTTCATAGCAAGGGATCCGAAGGTATTTCCTCTACTCTTCGGAGTTGACTCTAGGTTATTTTCAGAGTCACTGGTGACAGCAGGTTGCGAAGAGCTCACAGACTCCAGGTTAGCAGACAGAGGGTCGATGACCACAGACATTGTCCCGTTTTCAGAGGAGTCCATCAGGCCAGAAGATACTTGTGGCTCCAGATTACCTGGAGGTGGCCGGGCATGAGCCAAGGTCTGGTTCTGCTGAGAGTCACCACTGGCAGGGTCACCTGACGCTTCTGCCTGAGGCATTTCGCCTGGGCCTGAGGCTCCAGAGGCTGACATCTGAGGCCTTATCTGGACTGACCGACCATCAGGAAGCTCTGAGAACAGTGGTTACCATGGGAATGGCCGTTGGCAGTTACCCTGAGTGCCGTAGGTGGGCACGCGCTGTCACCTATGGCTACAAGTCATCGAATGGAGTTTGCGTCATGATAAGGGTGCTTGGGGTTACCATATAGTCACGTGGATACACATGAGAGGAGTGGGGAATCATGTTGGTCGGCTGGCATGATGTGGGGTTGACGTGAGGGGTGGTGTGGGAGAAGCACTGGGGCCACAGGGGTCAAGTGGAAGGTAGTGTGGAAGAAGCATGGGGGTGATTGGGATCATGAAGTTCATATCTAGCGCAGATGAGGCATCAAAGGAATATTAAAGGTGATGTGGGGGTATTCTATTATGAAATACCATTGAGTGGCATGGAGTCACTTTGAATGGGGAGGGCTTATCATTGTAATGGTATGGGTTCTGTTTGGGGGGTCTACGGGGTTTTGTCTGGGGTAAAAATGGAGCAGTGCGGGTTTTCCATGAATCATGTGGGAGGTGATACTAGTATAGGGTGGGGGAGCATGGCCACAGCATGTAGTGTGCCTTTGGTATAGACTGGAGTTGACTTTGTGTTAGTGCATTGGAAATGGTTGAAGAGGGCCATGGCTGAGTGGTTAACCCAAAGCTCTCTTATTCATACATGCAGTAGAGCTACCATGAATTCTCTCCACCCAGTGAATAACTGAGTCAGATCATTGAGTTCCTCTTGCATGTGTATTTCCTTAAGAGTGGCATTCTCATGTATAAACACCGTTAGTAAGTTTACTGTTGAGATAACTTTTTAAGGTACCTATCATTGCCTTAAAAAGTTAATATTTTGACAAATTCATTTTTACAATTTAAAATAAGGTGTGTGAATGTTTTATACATCTCTTCATACATGTGTGTATTTGTGTTTGATGTGTTCTCACCACTTAAGGAAAGTGTTACTTGAGTAACATTTTTGATATGAAAGTTTCTTTTTCCAGACTTATACCTTCTCTTCCATATTCTCCAGTAGCTTTTCCTCCTTCTTTGTTCTAGTGGTCTTGCTCTTCAGCCAAAGGGCTCCTAATATCGAAGCACCCCAAAATAGGTGGCTATAAAGAACAAAAAAACATTTTTTCAGAGGTAAATGTATTTACAAGTTCAAATCAAGTTTTGGCCTAGGCATGCTCCCCTATTGAAGGCTCTAGAAGAATGTATAATTGTCCATTTATTTTGTTGGCTCTGGGCATTCCCCTTTCTTCCTATGGTTTCTGCATCTCTCACAATGCTATCTCAGTACTCACATGGGTTTCCACACTGAGTTTTTTTCCAAATCTTTCTAATAGTGCCATCAATCTTTGAATTTAGGTTACTTTCTGACCAAATTTGTTCTCTTCTTGATTATATCTGCAAGGTTTCTGTTTCTGAATCAACATACATTTGAGAGGAACATTATTCATCAAACTATACTACCATCTATTTTCTAAAAGTCACATTCTCTATGCTCCAATAGATACATGTGTGTGAAGCTGTCACAATTCTAATTCCAAAATTTTATCTGAAAATCATTGCAAAACATTCTAAAATCTCATTATTTGACTCGTTTAAATCTTACCCGAAGGCAACAGGATAACAATGGTCAATCCTATTGTCTCAAATTTTGAGGCTTGTTTAAATCTCATGGGAGATAAATCATGGTCAAAAAGCTAAATAATGCACATGTTTCATTTTTATGTATGAAAATGTGATAAGAAATCTCTATAAAACATGATCACTGGAAGAATGAAGGATGGAGAAAAAGAAAGCAACAGAGTGTTATTCAGATCAACATATATGTCTATCCTAAATATTATGTTGCACAATTCCTTGCTATAATTTATACTCAATAAAAGTGAATGACATTAAAATAGATTCTTTTATGGGAGTAGGAATCAATAGGATAGGAGGGTGAATGAAAATGGTGCATGAGGATAAATGTGGTGTAAGTACTTAATATATGAAAATTGAACAATGCATCCTTTTGAAATTGTTTTAAAGAAAGAGAGAGGATTAGCAGGAGTGATGGGAGATTCTGATTGAGATACATTGTATGCATGTACAGAATTCATACTAATAAATAAATCTTGAACATTTAATAGATTAAAAAATTCTTTGTTATTTTTATGAAAGCCAGCAAAAATACAATTTTAAAATAACATAGCTAAAATTTTCAGCTCATTAGAGAGCAATGAGCCTATTAGTGAATAGATCTTTTGTAAACTATAAACATTATATTAGTTGTTACAGATAATAAGAGGCTCCATTGAATTTGTTTCATCTGATTTAAAAATAATGCACATTAATTATACAAAGGGATTTTATTCTTCTATTTATGCATATACTTTTATATTTACCCTTTTTCTCTATTTTGTTCATTCCCTTTTTTAATAATTTTGATAGATATTCTTGTTCTCTTTTGTGCATGCTTATATGGTACTTCAATCATCATCACATTCTCCTTTCACTCTTCTTCCAAGTAAAACCTCCATGTAGTACCTTCACATTTATGTATATTTAAAGGCCTGGAATCTGCATATGGTATGTCATATTGGACCTTCCTAATCTACTTTCTTTCACTTAATATGGCAATCTAGAGTTCTATTCATTTCCAGAAAATAGAATAATTTTATTTTTCATTATATCTCAGTAATAGTCCATTGTGGATATGTGGCACATTTTCATTCCCCATTCATGGGTTGATTGACACACAGGCTGATTTTATAGATTGGTTATTGTAAATAGTTCTTTAATATGATAGTCATCATCAGCATCATAACTATTATCTCTCAATGATATTTTTTGTGTGTGTTTTTCTGGTCCTTGGGCTTAAACTCTGTCCCTAAGTTTTCTCGCTCAAAGCTAGCATGTGAGCCACAGAACCACTTCTGATTTGGGGGAAGTTTATTAGCTATAAGGATCTCACAGAATTTCTTGCTTGGGTTGGCTTTTAACTGCAGTCCTCATATTTCAGCCTCCTAAATAGGATTACAGGTTTGAGCTACCAGTGCCAGATGTCATGGATTTTTGAATGCAAAGATATGAATGTATCATTTAATTTGTCATCCCCGCCTGTATTTCTTGTGTATCTTAAATTAACAGTTCAATATGGAAAGGATTCTTGATTCAATTCTCTGTTTTCAACCAGGTTTTTTTCTGTTTTTCAAAATTTTAACTGATTTTTTCAGATCCAAATTTGGTATTTTATTTATGAACTTTTCTTTATTATACCATTCATATTTAATTTAGAATCAGGTGTCATAGACATCTTCAAAATATCTCAAGCTCCAGGTAGTGTAATGTACAATCATTATATTCCTAGTCCACCACAATAGCATGCAAAATGTTGTTTCCATTTTCATTTCTGTCTAAAAATTCATTCCCACACTGAAGCAAAAGTGAGATTTAACACAAATTGGATTATGCCAAGATTCTATCCAAAACGTCAATCACAATAATTTATCTATCTAGAGGGTCATTTTTCTGTTATTCTCATTCTTTAGCTTTTTATTTTCTGGATACCACTTTCAATGTTGTTGTTTTTTTTCTACTTTTTTATTGTAAAAGTACTTTACAGAGGGGTTACAGTTACATGAGCAAGGTAATGAACTCATTTCCTATCAAGATTTTTTGCCTTTTCTGTTGATTTCCTTCTATCATCCCTTCCTTGCCACCTCCACAATTACCCATTCCACCCGCGCCCCCCACCACCCGCGCCGAAGTTGTAAGGTTTGTTTTCAACATAGTGTCTTGTACATCTCATCGGTACAGTGGGCCAACCTCTATCCCCATTTAACCATTCTGTTTTATCCCTTCCCTTCCCTGAATTAGAAAAGTATATATACAAGATGCAGGGCAGCGACATCAAATACAGTGAAAACGGTTATACTGTGGGGGAGGAACATACAAAGAAAAAGAAATCACATGGCATATTATAAAGAGGTTAGAAACAATACCAAGAAAGAAAAAAGAATATTTGTGTCTCTATCTTGGGGATCATTTCGCTTAACATCATCTTATATGGTCATATGTACATAGCTTTTGACCTTTTCCACTTGTTCTACAAATATACTAGTTATTGCAAATAAGGGAAACCATGGGACCTATATTTCTTTGGGCCTGGCTTACTTCACCAAATATATTTTTTTCCAAGTCTTTCAATTTTCCAACAAATGGGGTGATGTCATTGTGTCTGATAGAGGCATAGAATTCCATTATATATATAGATAGATAGATATGTAGATCTATCTATCTATCTATCTATCTATATTAATAGATAGATATATCTCACATTTTCTTGATCCATTCATTTACTAAGGGGCATCTGGGTTGGTTCCATATCTTAGCTATGGTAAATAAGGCTGTGATAAACATAGTTGAGCTGATAGCCTTAGTAGTAGTTTGTGGTCCTTTGGGTAAATGCCCAAAAGTGGGGTTGCTGGGTCATAGGGGAGCTCTAGGTGGAGTCTTTTGAGGAACTTCCATACTGCCTTCCAAATGGTTGAACAAGTTTACACTCCCACCAACAATGCAGTAGAGTTCCCTTCTGTCCACATCCCCTCCAGCATCTGTTGTTATTAGAGTTCTTGATTATAGCCATTCTAACTTTTCAACAAAATTTTGCCCAATCAACTTCTACTATTCATCCAAAATATCATACACCACTATCAATCAGGATTCATTTCAGGGATGCAAAGCTCCTTCAATATACACAAATCAATTAATATAATTCATCACTTCAACAAGTGTAAGGGTAAGAACCACATGGTTATCTCAATAGATGCATTTGACAGGATCCAACACCCCTTTATGATGAAGGTTCTAGAAAAACTAGGAATCCAGGGAACATTCCTCAATACAACAAAGTTTTATATGACAAACCTACAGTCAGCATTATACTTAATGGTGAAAAACTAAAGCCA